TTTTATAACAATCATAACATTGTAAAACATCACTTAAACCGCGCACAAGAATGAAAAGCAGAATGAAAACGCAAAACCGATTATGGCACGTTTAACGAATAACGCTTTTTTTTTGTGTGTGTGTGTGTGTGTGTCAATCAACCGAAAATTCCTAATATAAAAACGTAGGAAAAAATTTAATTTTTTTCAATACCGTAAATAATAGCGTTATTAATAATGATGATGATGATAATGATGACAATTACCTTTTTTTTTTTTTTTAGAGTCTGGTAAAAATTTTAACCCGAATGCTATTAAAGCTCACAAAACATAAATTAAATAATTGATTGAATTGAGTCAAGGTCAAATCTTTTCAATAAATACTTTTTGTACATTGCGCAAAAAAAAAAAAAATTACTTTTTCCAGTAAAAAAAAAAAAAATGATTTCAACTATAACTATGATAACTGATTCTACATACCTGATGTATTTATATAAATAATTTTTTTTTTTTTTTTTTGCAGTGTTTTGTAAAAGGCAGCAGCATGATATTTTAACTTTATTTTACTTATAAAATAAGTTAATAGGTTTTGGTTTAAAAAAAAAGATGTACAAATAACATTTTTCTCATGACACAAAGAATCATTTTGTAATTATTGAATTAAACTTGTTTCGAATTAGACTTTGTTAAAGGAAATATATTATTATGATTACTTTACACAATAAAATAAACAACCAAAATCCATGTTAAAAATTGGTTAGAAATTTTTTTAAATGTATTAATTTATTAAAATATCAGGTATTGTTTTAAAATGCATATATTGACTGGTAATAAAAGTTTTATTAATTGAAAAGGACTCAAAATTTTAAATGTGTTATATATTATATATATTTTCATTTAATCGAATGGTGTTCTAAAATTGATTTTGAAATATTTAACAGTTATCGTGCAATGAACACTAATTACTTTTAATGCATTTAAGTGAGTAACAAATTTCGTTTTCAAAACTCATGTATAAATTTATAGAAAAGATTTATATATATAGACTAAATATATAAAAATTTTATGATGGTATTTTTTTGAAATAAATAAAATTTAAAAAACTACTTATAAAGATTTATGTTTTTTTATTTTTTTTTAAAAACTTTCAATTATTTTTATTATGATTTCATTAGAATATTTGTACAAAAAAGTATAAGACTTTCATTACAGATAACAGTTTACCTTGTTCAAGATAAAAAAAAAATTGAGCAATAATAATAATACAACAGCAGGTTACTGTTTCCTAAAACTTTTCAAAATGGGCAACATAATATCGAGAGCCTCTTGTATATCTTGCTGTGTTCGAGCACCTAAAAATAAAAATGAATTCAATTTTGGCAAAATTTAAAAATTATCAATAATTTATTTCTGCTTACCGGTTAACACAATTTTGCCATTTACAAAAATAAGTAACACTACCCTAGGCTTAACTAGTCTGTAAATTAATGCTGGGAAAAGTTCCGGTTCATAACTGAAAAATTTAATAAATGTAAATAAAATTTATGAAAATAACGATAAAATAAATTTTTCTGTTTTTATATTGCAAACTATGTTTTATATAATTTAATTAATTACAAACCTACTAAACTGTCCGTGAATTTGATTTAATGATTCAAGTTTGATTGGGAATCTAACATCACATGTACCAACAATGTTCTGAATTTTAAAACTACAAAATTTTATCTACAAAACAAATAATAATTAAAAATATATATCAGAGACTATTATTAAATTTGAAAATAAATAAAAACATACTGAAAATCCTAACTTTTGAATAATCCTAGCATATTTTCTTGCGGCAAGCAAAGCAGCATCTTCAGATTTAGCACCGGTAACGACTATTTTCCCAGATCTAAATATAAGAGCTGTTGTTTTCGGTTCCCTGATTCTCATAACCAAACCTTTGAATCGAGATGGATTATATTCAGTGTTTCTCGTACAAAAATTAATTTTCCTAAGGTCTAATTCATTCATTAAATTTACAGTGGCTACAACATTTCTAAAAATTAAAATTAAAAATTAAAATTTTTTTTCATTTAATCTAACTTGATTTTATTACTCAAAAGCTTTTTTAATTATGATATATGTAATTTATGTAAAATTTTTTTACTGATATATATAATACTCGCATAATATTCAGAATCAGCTAAGCAGTTAAATTTAAATTTGATATAAAAATTTTACTGTACTATTTGATGTAAGCAAAGTAATGAAAATCCTAAACATAAGTTTAGATTAAAAATTAAAACTCTTAGTTATATTTTTTAATCATTGATGAATTTGTAAAATAGATTATATATTTTGTAAAATAACTTAGTCATTCCCTTACATTCTTTTTATGATATGCAATTTAAATTGTATCACATTACCTCAATGCAAAAAAAAAAATTATGAACTTCTAAACTTTGGATGTATGGCACAATATTAGTTTATTTTTAATTCAATTACCACTTAATAAAGTTACATAAAATTATAATTTAATATTGCTTGAATTTGTTTTACTCACTGTAATGTTATTGCGGGCCTTGAATCTAAAAGTAAAGAGGCAGGAGTAATAGCAGTCAGTAATGTTTGGGGCAAAGGAACATTTATTTGATCTCGTGGAGCAAAGGATTTCTGAGGAGATTTCAATAAAATTGTTAAAGCTGTTTCAGGCTTATTATGTGATTTTGTTTGCTCCATATTTAAACTTTAGTTTAGTTCTTAATTTGCGTTCAATATCACACATTAAAAGTAATATAAATCACACATATGAATTCCATCGGAATACTAATATTATTAGTTTTGACGCCATGATAAATGATCCATGGTTGCCAATTTTACACTAATTTCACCAACTTCACTATAATTCATAGTTAAAATAATGATTAATAGAATTTATAAGACAGAATAAATATAAAAGACAATTTAATTAAAATTATATTTTATTTAAATGTTTTAATACAAATTTCCTTTCTTATGTCTATACTTCGGGTGTAGAACACGCGTTAAGCACTGAAACCAACTTATTTTCTAATTCATCTAAAGCTGATAAAGTCAGAACTAAAGTATCATGCTTTAACATTCCATAAACATTAAGCCCGTAAACCGGCATTAAAGTAATATAACCAATTGAATCTGTAGCAATAGAAATATTTCTGGGCATAATATCATCACTAAAATAAAATAAAATAATTTAAAAAATTGAATAATAAATGGTAAAATTAATTTAAAACCCCTAAATTAAGTACCGATTACTTTTAGCGATAAATGTAAATTAGTGTAAATACTATTTTGAGTGACTACAACTTTCAAACCTGTTTTAATAAACATATTGAAAATAAAAACTTATGGTTCATATAAAAATATACAAAAATATACTTTGCTATTAAAATCATATGAACGTTTTTGAAAATAAAGCTACTTGTAAATTTAAAAAAAAAAGATTTTGCTTTGTTTTAGAAAGCAATGCTTAAAAAAAATTCATATAAAATAATACAAACCTATCAACAATGAGTACAGAAGAACCCCAATTTCTTTCTTTCATCAAATCTATCATGTATTGACTATCATCTGTTGGAATATTAATATTATCAACAACATGTAAATCATTTTGTGCTAATTTCGCTGATAAAGTAGAAGTTAAACCATGAATTTTTTTGTAAAGAGGAATCCTAAAATAGTAAGATGTAGGGTTTCTAGGTCCATGACATGTTCCACCTAAAAGTATGGTTATTAATTAGATGTCAAAATCAAAATGCATCTGTATATAAATAAAATATGCGTTTAATATTATAATTAAACTCTCCTTACCTCCTTTCACTTGAGGAGCTCTTCTACTTCCAAGCCTGGCTCTTCCTGTACCTTTTTGAGGATGCGGTTTTCTACCACTCCCTTTCATCTCAGCTCTAGTTTTTGCACTATAAAGTATCTTTAAGTTTTAAAAAAATTACAAGAATTAAAAATGTTTTTTTTTTCTGACAAAAAAAAATAAACTCCTTTTAAATTTTACAAAATTAGCTAAAACAAAGGACTTACTACTCTGCTATAAAGTGATTGCCATTTAATATTATAATAAATTAAATCCAGTCGTGGAATTGTTCCAAATATACTAGGATTTAACTGAACTAATCCCCTTTTCTGTTCTTTAATACTGTCAACATTTTCTACCCAAACTTCTCTAGGCTTTGCATAGTTATTTGATATTTGTAGTTTTCTTTCAAGTATTGGACAAAACTGCGATTCAAAAGTATTTAAGTCATTGTTTAGTGAGGTATCTAAAATTATGACAAACTATGAATTCCGGCTATGTTAAAAGATTTTAAAACAAGCCGCAAAAAGTTGCTATCAATTATTATTATTATTATTATTATTATTAAAATGAATACTTTGGTAATTACCTAAACCTTCTTTGGAAAAATAACGAGATAAAATAATTGATTTGAAATTTTTTATTTCACATCTATGATTGAAAAGTTGTCTTAAACAATACATTTTAAAACAACAAATTATTACAAATCACCTATTCATTTGTAATATGAAAAATTTGTACACTGTCAGTTTAGCCATTATTTGAAAATTAAAATTCAAGTTTAAATTTTAAAAAATTTAAGTTTTTCTTATTAAAAAAAATAAGTTCATTACTTTTTTTTTTTAAATTAAAAAGTAACACTTAAAAAATGTATTTTTTAATGAATTAACTTTTTAAAACGCATAATAAATTGTTGGAATTTTATGTAAACATAACAAGTAAAGTTTTATTAGCATCATTATTTCATTAATTTAAAGTACAAAATAAGTTGTGTCCAAATTTTTATTAAAACAATAGATAATCAGAGAAAATTTTAATTAAAAGAATAAACAAGGAATAAATTAAAAAAAAAAAAAAATAAAAGCATTTCTTATATAAGAAGAGTTTTTTAATTTATAATTTTTACTATTAAAATTTTTTATCATATAAAAATCCAAATTTAAAATTTTACTTTTTTATTTTTACAAACTATCTTTATATAATAATTATTTAATCAACTGTATTTATTATATTTAGAATAAAATACTTTTAAACCATATACAGAATGGCTAAAAACTTAAACGACTAGTTAAAACTGAAATTTTAATTGTAAAATCAATTACGATTTTTTTATTAATGGCTTCTTTTTATGCTGTAAAAAAACCCCTAATTTTAAGTTAATTTAAAATTTTTTGGTTGATTATCAGGAATGTAGAATAAAAATCATTAAACCGATTTTATATAGTTTTAAAAAAATAATATTTATATATATTTATAATTGTTTTATCATACATTTCAAGAAAATTTAATTCACAAATTTATTTTCATCATTAACTTTCAAGTATTTTTATTTTTGATAAAATATGAATTACACAACTTCACTTTTTCTTAAACCAAGTTTGTTAACTTCCTTGTACAATAATTGATGTTTTTTTATTTGGTTTACCTATCTCGAATTCAATCATAGAATGTATAAAACTTTACAAATTTGATATTTAGTTGTAAGGAGATATTAAAATTTAAAGTCTTTTTAATAAACAATAAAATAAGAAGAAATACTATTGTTAACACTCTTTTAAAAATTAAAAGTCAAGTGATATGTTCTAGAACTCCTTGACGAATCAAAGATTCACATTGTGATCTTGGCAAATGGTAAACTCCATTTTTTTTAATAATAACTACATCTCCTGAATCTAATTCAAATTTTCCATAATCTACATTACTTTTAACCTCAACATAAAGAGACTGAGGAGGTGTAATATCCTGTGTTATATTCAATCCTGTTCCATCACCAATGGAAGACATATAAAAAGCCAATAATTTACTGTATTTAGTAAACCAATCTAATTCATTTTTTGACAAGTTCATCTTAATTTCAGGTGGTAATATACTACCCAATTCCCATCTTATTAAACGAATTCTTTGAAGTCTATTATAAATATAAGCTAATACACATCTTTTATTTCGTTCCAATACCGCATGCCTTAACGATATGGAGGGAAAAAAACTTGAATAAACCGGTTGTTCTTGGGAATTAGCAGTATAACTATAAAAAAAATTTTTTAAATTAATCTTAAAACGACTAGACAATTTTTTTTACTAATGGTACTTACACATTGTTTTGATTTTCTTCAAATAAGGCATTCATTTCTTCTAAAACTTGACGAATACCTTCATCCTAAAAAAATAAAATAAAAAATTTTATTAACGAGAACCTTAAAATTAATTTCTTTTAAATATTATATATATAAATATGTGAAAGTTCATAGATACATTGAAAGGAGGTATATTTTCAGAAGTTCTAGAAAGACTTTTTATTAATTCAAAACTCTTCTCCCCAAACATGGCTGAAATAAATTTTTAAAACATCGTTTTAATAAACATATAGTATTAAAGTGAATTATTTTGCAAAAAATGAAGCGCATGCGCCGTAGCCTAACAAATTTATTTTGTTTTGTTTACTAGATTCATACATTACATTGAACATATTAGCGCCAAATATAGATTTTGTAATAATAATAATAATGATTACGTTTGAAATAATTTTTTAAAAATCCTACAGTATTATTTTTCTTTTTAAAAACAAAAGACATTGTAAATAATACTTTTTTTTTTATTAGTACACTTGAGTAGAATTTCAGCAAGATTAACAATTAATATTTAAGCTTTAGTATTTGGTAAAAAAAAAACGTTTCTTACACAATTTAATTTCTAAAAAAAATTTATTTTAGTTATAATTTCACAAATACAATTAATCATTTTATTTACAATTACAAAAATCTGTCAATGAACTATAATGTAAGGACTAATTTATTTTCAATTAAAATAAATATTTGGCATAAAAAATTTTAACAAAATTATTTGTGATAAAAAAAAAAAATTTTTATTTTTATTAAAATTGATTTAAATTAAAGTATAAATATATAAGAAAGAGAGTAAAAAAAGAATAATAAATATAAAATTTATTGTTAGTAACGATGTGATGCTATTTTTAAATAAATCAATAAGTTGTTGTATTTTTAAAACATTGATATTTTTTAGTCAAATTAAGAAATTTTGACCGTTAACTATGACATTTTCCTACCATTACAACTTGACACTAGCGCCACAAGCATATGAATTTTGAACTAAATTTAAGGAACTGATTGTGTAATTTGGGTAAACCCTTATGTATTCTTTCATAGATATTTTTGTTTTTACGCGTTTATTACTCAAGGATGTACAGTGTATTTTAAATTATTGTCATTGTGTTTATAAGTATTTGTAAAATTTAGGTGTTGTTTTAAAAATACGATTGTATTATTTTTGCGTATGTTATTTTTCTTTTAATTAGAAATTCTTTTTTTTATTGAGTTCTTGCCAAATAAAGATTGGATTATTCCGTGGCATTTTTAGTAGTGGGAGTTTTATCAATTAATATTTTTTTTTACCTTAATTGTTAAATATTTTGTCCCAAGTACCAAAATATTTTACCAAAATATTTCAAGTGTTAATTTTATATTTACCTAATAAATACCAGTGTTTACATTTTTATTATTTTATGATAATATTTATTTATAAGTTTTGTTCTATTATTTTTATGATTTACTTCCTTTATTTAATGTTGAAATAATATTTGTAACGTTTCTGAATTTGCAGTGAAAAAATGACAACTACTTATTCGCCTAAAATATCATCCGATAGTGATAAAAAAGATTATGAATCTAGTAGAACAGATTCTGGTTTTTTGTCTGGCACAAATTTGGTATCTGAGGAATGTTTAACCAATGAGGATTCATTTGCAAAACAATCGACAGTTAATTTAGAATCACAAACTAATTTAAATTATGAAAAAATTGTACAAACAGATAGTGGTGTTGATATAGACTTAAATGAACAGTTTAGTGGCTTAGCTTTGGAAGAAAATTTTGCTAATAACCTAAATGAGAATTTCAAAAATATATGTATAAATAATAAAGTTATTTCTAAAACAAAACATATTGAAAATGATGAAAATAATGCTGAAATCAGGGTGACACAACCATGGGAATTATATTTTCAACAAGATGAAGATGGGGATACGTAAGTTTTATTTTAATTAGACTAAAAAAAAAATTTCCTTTAGTTATTTCATATAATTTTTCCTGTTATAATTTTTATGGAATTCCCTGAATTAGTTGTCTTATATTGATAAGATTAATTTGTATTAAATTTTTTAAGGGAGATAAGAACATAATCAAAGAATGATAAAGTTTCAGAAACAAAAAAAAATTGTACTTTAATTGTTTAAAATTTTACTTATGTACAATATGTTTATAAATATTACTGGTAAAATGATTTTATTAAACCTGAATTTTTTTCAGACAACTTCACATTGCTATTATTCAAGGGTTTATTGAAGTTGTGTTTAGTTTAATTAAAATGGTTCCACAGCCATGTTTTTTAGATATCCTTAATGATGTTATTCAGGTACTGATCTATCATTCATTATTTTTAATGAATTTAAACATTTGTATAATTTTTACATATTATATTACAGTCTCCGCTTCATTTAGCCGTTTTGACTCACCAATCGAAAATTGTGCGTCAATTGGTAGTAGCAGGAGCTAATGTAGAAGCAAGAGACAGATTTGGAAATACTCCTTTGCATTTGGCTTGTCAAATTGGAGATATTGACTGTGTTAAATCTTTAGTGGAACCAATATCTATGTCTGAGATAAAAAATGCCAATTTATTGTACTCAGGAGTAACTAGTCAAGTTCCTCAAGATTTTGAAGAAAAAAACTATGAAGGTTATTTTTAAACTGTTTACAATTTACAATTTTATATTTAGTATTAGGTTCATTTAATTTTTATAGACAGAAAATTATTTTAAAATTACTTGTATTTATAATTTGGCATGTGCATTTATTATTATTCTCTTAATACCGATATATATATATATTTTTTTTTTTTTTGTAATTTCTTTCTATTATTTGTTTAAAATGCTCTATAATTAAACTTGTTTTGAAATTTTGCCAAGAAGAAATTCTTTGGCTGACAAAAGTCTATAAATTAATTCTTTACTTTAATTAAACAGGGGAATCCCCTTTATTTTTAATTTTATTTTTTTAAATTTAACAGTTTGTAATTTTCTTAAAACGCCAATAAAGTAATTGAAAAGTAAAATAAATAATATGTATGTTTTACATGCCATATTAAGCATTCTTTAATGTTTTCTTATGTGATTTTTTTTTTTAATTGTTGGCTTTGAAAAAGTATAATTTTCAATAGTATTTTTTGTGCAATTACTATAGTTTGTAAAGTTTTATTCATATAAATAATAATAATATTTGAGAGTAATAATATTTGCCTCAAATAATGTCTAATTAATGAAAAATGTGAATTGTTGAGGATTTGAGAAAAACAATTTACTTAAAAATATTACTTTTTGTATACCGAGTTGGCTTTAATTATTCAAATTATGTAATTTTGTTTGTTATGAAGGTTTAAATTGAAAATGTATAAGCTCATATAAAAAATATTAAAGTAAATAATATTATTCTATGAGTAAAACTTTACTGTTTTAGGAGAAACTTGTCTACACTTGGCTGCTTATGGAGGACATACTGAGGTTATGAGGCATTTAATATGGTTTGGAGCTGACATAAATGCTCGAGTAAGTGTGTTATTAATTACTAATATTCAGATTTTATGGCATGAAATTAAGATATATTATTTATTTTTTGAAAAATACTGCAAGACTTTTTATTTTATTGTTAACAGGAAAGTAAAAGTGGTCAAACAATTTTACATTATGCTGTTGAAACATTAAATCACAAACTTTTACGTTTTCTTTTGGATGAGTGTCCAATCGGTAGCAATGGACTCGTTCTTGACAAACAGAATTATGCTGGGCACACTCCTTATCAGTTGGCTAAAATTCTCGATTTAAGGATAGCAAAAGAACTTGCTCTAAAAGGAGCTTTTGTTAATGTTGATGATATAGACGAGGATGATCATCCGGATCATAATTCCTACATCCAAGAAGAAGGGGTAATAAAAATGAATTTTACTGTTGTTTTTTTTTTTAAATTTTTAAAGGAAGTAAAAAAATATTTAAATGCTTCGGTTTGCAATTATAAAGTTATATTAAAAAATGTTTTGTGTTAAAAAAAAAAATATAAAACAATTATAACAATCTTAATTAATTAAAATTTTTGACAATAATTATAGGTTAAATTTTTCATCGAAAATTAATAAAATTTTATGAACTTTCAGGTGACTGAAATGGAAGCGATTAATTTCGAGCATGGACATTATTTTCTTAATAAAGAGACATTAAGCACTTGATAAATTTTAAAATCATACTTAGTTAAATAAAAATATATTTTTTTTCAATAATAATATGTAATAGAATTTTACTAAGTAATACAAATAATATCCTTGAACATGTAAAATAAAAATTAATTTTTAACAATTTTAATATTTAAAATTTGTTTTCATGATTAATTTTTAAATTATGCAGTGTGTTTATTTGTTGTGAATGAGAAAGTACTGAAATTATAAAATAATAAAAATAATTTATTTTTAAATAAATTTAAATGTTTTTTTTTCAGTTTTAAAATTTTTAATATATGTATCTGTATATAATTCAATTATTTTAATTTAATTTCTTTAATGCAACAATTATTTCAATTAAATAAGTACAATTTTGTGAATTTTTTTGTTTTTTTTTGAAGTCCTAATAAATACATTCAAAGAAACCAATCCATTTTAAAAACAATACCATTTCTCACATCTTTCATTTAGGTCTTTTTCTTTAAGTATTTTTAAATGTAACACTATATTTTATAATTATATTAATTTTTAAATAACTTTTTAACTTTCTTTTCTTGCAAAGATAAATTATGAATACTTGGTCAAACTACCGTAAAAATGGCAACGTCCCCTTTATATATTATTGAAAAATGGCAACATGTTCATAAATAATTTACTTAAGTAAGTGGGTAACTAATGTCTAAAAAAAAATTTTATTGTACGTATAAAAAATTTTAGACTCAAAAAAAAAAAACATGAAATTCTTTGTTATTGCTTTGAACTTGTTTCTTTTGACTTTAATAAATTGTGTTAACGGATATCGAGTTGGTGATAGAAATCTTTTAAATATAAGTGATCCTGAAATAATCAGGTTGAGCAAAATTGCTTTGTTAAAATTAAACGAAGAAAAAAATATTTTTAACCAAGAAAAGATATTAGTGAAAATTTTAAAAGCATCTAAACAAATTATATCTGGGTCTTTAACAGAATTAACCCTTCAAATATTGGAGAAAAATGTTCCAAAATATTACGTAGCAAAAATTTGGGAACGACCTTGGTTAAATAAAACAGAAGTTACATTTTTTGATTATAAAAAAACTACAAAAAAAATTGATAATGAAATAATTAATAAAAATGAATATTTGCTTCAATCTTTTAAAGACTTTGTTTTGAAATTTAACAAAGTTTACTTTAGTAAAGAAGAATTCAAAAAACGTTTCCGAATATTCCGTGCTAATATGAAAAAAATTAATTTTCTAAACAAAGCTGAAAAAGGCACTGCTCAATATGGTATAACAGAATTTTCTGATTTATCAGTCACAGAATTTAAAAACTACCTTGGATTGAAAAAAAAACCTGAATCAAAACTTCCTACAGCAGAAATTCCTGATGTAAAATTACCTGATAATTTTGACTGGAGACATTATAATGCAGTTACTCCTGTTAAAAATCAAGGATCATGTGGTTCTTGTTGGGCTTTTTCTGTTACTGGAAATATTGAAGGTTTATGGGCCATCAAAAAACACGAATTATTATCTTTGTCGGAGCAAGAATTAATCGATTGTGATAAAATCGATAATGGTTGTAATGGTGGATATATGCCTGAAACCTATGAAGCCATTATGAAATTAGGTGGATTGGAAACAGAAACTGATTACCCATATGAAGCAGAAAATGAAAAATGTAATTTAAATAAAACTGAGATAAAGGTTAAAATTAATGGTGCTGTGAATTTAACAAAGTCTGAATTGGATATTGCTAAGTGGTTATATAAAAATGGTCCAGTTTCTGCTGGCCTAAATGCGAATGCAATGCAATTTTATTTAGGTGGAATTTCGCATCCTCCAAAAATATTGTGCAATCCGGAAGAACAAGATCATGGAATATTAATTGTAGGTTATGGAATACACAAATCTAGTATTTTAAAAAGAACCATTCCATATTGGATAATTAAAAACAGTTGGGGCAAACATTGGGGAGAAAAGGGGTATTACAGATTGTACAGAGGGAGTGGCGTTTGTGGAATTAATCAAATGGTTTCTTCAGCGTTGATTAATTAAATTTAACTCATTCAAAGAAATTTTAGGTATAAATTTAACTTGTTAATCAATAAGTACTTTTCTTAATTGTGTAATTTTTATTCAACACATTAAGTTTTTTTTATTTAACATAAAATATATATTAAAATTTTAATTAAGTTATTTTAATTTTTTTAAGTGTTTTAAAAAAAAAAAAAAACTACCCTGTATGTAAATAATAAAATAATAATTAAATTTTTATAAAAATTATTAAATAATAAAATGATTATAAAATAGTAAAAAATTATTTTACATTATTTTAAAAAATTAAACATAAACATAATCTAAAATATCATATCTTTGACTTTTACAATAGAAAAAAGAAAACTAATTTAATGTAGATTGCTAAATAAAATTTCCGAAAAATTTTTTATAAAACCAAAGTAAATTCTACAGTTATTTAAAAACAGATCAAAAATTAATAATTTTAATCCAAAAATAATTTTACAAATTAAAACATAATTTATAATATCTTTTAAAATTTTAAATTACGTCTAATATAAACAAAAACCATAGACTCTAAAAACTTTTTTTGAAGTTTTGAAGTCTGTGTTCAAAAGTGCATTACGTGATTCTTCGAAACGTCGTATATTCCCTACTCTAAGAATTTTCTAGAATTTTATAAAGCTTCTGTCATCCACAATGGACCAGGTAAGGGTTTTTTTTTTGTATTTTATTACACTATCCGGATTTTTCTTTTTTATTTTTTTAAATTTAAGTTTTAAATTTGGGTAGTGTATTATTACAATATAAAAAAAAAATATTTCCGATTGTTTTTATAAGATTTTTTTCATGTTCTCGTGGTTGTTGAATGGTATGTTACCTATAGTCAATTAAGTTTTCTTTCATCTATTGCTTTTATTACTTTTGAATTCTAATTATTTGAATTTAAGATTATTACGTTAATTGGAACTATGCAATTTAAATTTTTTTTTACGTTTTAGTTTAATATTTCTTTTTTTTGCCTTAGATTAATTGTTAGTCTACCGGCTTACTTACATGCGTAAACAAAATTTTTTATGGTTATTCTTACGTTTGATTATTATTTTATTAGGTGCAGATATTAAAAGATAAAGGAAACGCTGCTTTAAGTGCAAATAACTCAGAGGAAGCAATTAAATGGTATACCGAAGCTATTGCATTAGACCCCAATAACCACGTTCTCTACAGTAATCGTTCGGCTGCGTATGCCAAAAGCCATAAATATGATCTTGCTCTATTGGACGCCAACAAAACAATTGAATTAAAACCTGATTGGAGCAAAGGGTGAATATTATTATTTATTTGGATGAATTCTAATTAAATTTTATGTCCTTTGCTATTTTTAAAATGTATACATAAGTGTTTTCTTACACACTACTCCTCTTATTAATTATTGGACTTCAATATAGAATACATTGTCGTTATTGCTGTTACAAATAATAATATATATGTATATTTAAAGGTATTCACGTAAAGGAAGTGCATTAGCATTTTTAGGGAGACATAGAGAATCAATATGTGCTTATGAGGAAGGTTTAAAACATGAACCAGACAATATTCAACTTAAACAAGGTTTAAATGAAGCTCACATTCAACTGGCATATGAGTAAGCATTTCAATGTTAGTCATTTAAAAAATTATTTAAAATTATATTTATTAAAATCTTGCACAGGTATGAGCCAAGATGATATCGATAGTCTCGTTCGTATGATGTAATTTATGATTATAATTTAATCATTTTTCTGAGCTCATAAATTATAACTTGAAAATAGTTTTAAAATAAAATATGTCTTTTATTTTCTTAACTTTTTTAGGGTAACACTTATTATATCCATAACATATTGTAACTTAATTTTAAAATAATTTTATATTATATTTTTTTAACCTCATACTACTATTTTATAAAGAAACTTAGATTTTTATTACCAAGCATTTTTGTAAAAAAAAACTATTTGTTTTATACATGTAAACATAATTGTAAAAACATTTTTTTTTTAAAATTTAAATCAAGGCTTAGATCACGTCTTGCAATAGCTGAACTATTCAAGCAATTAAGGTCGAACCAAAATACAAAAAATTACGTGGATGATCCGGAGTTTTTGCTGTTTTTAGAGCAATATGTAGATGATCCTGTAAAAGCCAGGTATAATATATTTTTTTTAATTTATTAAAATGGAATTTTTCCTCCATGTTATTTTATTGAGGAAAAGTAAAGTAATAATAGTAATTTTTATTTTATTTTTTTTTAAGAGCTAATGCTTCAAATCCTCGTCTACAAAACTTTTTACGAGCTATATGTGACCCAAATATTTTGGAGGAACCAATGGATTTAGATCCCCCACCACAATGTACAAAACCCAATAACTCTTCAAAAACCGCAGAACCTACAACAAAAATTGATGAAGATTCAAATTTGTCACCAGAAAAACGTGAAGCCATAAAAGAGAAAATGTTGGGCAATGAAGCATACAAAAAAAAAGACTTTGAAACTGCTTTGAAACATTATTTTAGAGCCGTAGAATTGGATCCTACTGAAATAACATATTACAATAACGTTGCTGGTAATTATTTTTTTTTTGGTTAAAAGTTTTATTTTATTTTTATATATAAAAATCAGTATTAAAATTTTTTCTTTTTTTTTTTTGTCATCAGCCGTATATTTTGAACTTAAAGAATATGAAAAATGTATAAAAGAATGTGAAAAGGGTATAGAAATCGGTCGTGAAAATCGAGCAGATTTTAAATTGATTGCCAAAGCCTTTAAAAGAATCGGAAATTCTTATAAAAAGTTAAACGACGTTCGAAAAGCAAAAATTTATTATGAAAAAAGTATGTCTGAATTTAGAACTCCGGAAATTCGAACGCTTTTATCAGATGTTGAAAAAATAATCAAAGAAGAAGAAAGGAAAGCTTATATTGACCCAGTCAAAGCTGAAGAAGAAAAAGAAGAAGGGAATAAGTTATTTAAAAAGGGTAATCAACTATCATAACTAAAATATTTACAAAAATTGCTATTTTTTTTTCATAATTTTCTAATCAATTGTGAAATTTAAAATTTTTAAAGGCGATTATGCTGGTGCTATAAAACATTACACAGAAGCCATAAAAAGGAATCCGGATGACGTTAAGTATTATTCAAATAGAGCTGCTTGTTACACAAAATTAGCTGCATTCGATTTAGGTCTTAAGGATTGTAAGATGTGCTTAGAATTAGATCCTACATTTAGTAAGTACTGCGTTTTTATATATATATATATATTATAATAATTATATATATTATTTATAATTTTTTGAACGGTTTCAGTTAAGGGATGGGTTCGTAAAGGAAAAATTTTACAAGGAATGCAACAATATGGAAAAGCCGTTGAAGCATATCAAAAAGCTTTAGACCTAGATCCGAATAATGCGGTAAGTCGGGATTTTATTTTATTTAAAAAAGGCAAAAAAAAATAAATAAATAAATTTCAATTTACAAAAATATAAAATTAAAATTATAGGAAGCATTAGAGGGCTACAGATCGTGCTCGGTAGCTTTTCATTCAGATCCCGAAGAAGTTCGAAAAAGAGCACTCGCAGATCCCGAAGTTCGTAAAATATTGTTCGATCCTGCTATGAGACTTATATTAGATCAAATGCAAAATGATCCCAAAGCACTTAATGAGTGAGTATTGTGATTAAAAAAAATTTTAATTTGCGTAATATTACATCATTTATTTAAATGTTATTCTACTTAAAATATATTGTAATAAATTTGTTTTTTTTTTTTTTTTTGCAGTCACTTAAAAAATCCAGAAATTGCTGCGAAAATACAAAAACTTTTAGAGTCTGGATTAATAGCTATACACTAAAAACAATTTTTTTTTTTTTCAGTACAGCTTACAATAAATTTAATAGCTCTGATCAAAAGATCAAAAACTTTTTTTTTTTTTTTTTTTTTTTTAAATTAAATAGCATAAGAAAATTTTAATTTACGCACACATGTATAATTTCCTTTTTGTAATATAAAATATAATTACTAAAAATTAATATTTTACCATTTGCTGCTTCATTCCCTACAATTCAAGGAAACGATATATATATATATATTATTAATAAATAGGTCTGACATTTAGTGTTTAATTTTTTTAATTTTATATTTAAGATGCGTATTATTTAAATAAAATAATAATGACTGTATTCTTTAAGTTTAGTTTTTACAATCAAATTTAAATTAGATTTTATCATTTTTTTCTTTTTCTTTTTTTTTTTGTCAACTATGAAAAATTTTTTTTTTTAGTTTTTTCATGTGAAAATTATTATTGAATATAATTAGTTAACGGTTTTATGTTATTATTTGTTTTTTTAATAAAATTATCCTTAATTAAAAGTCAAATTATTATATGTTGATTGTTACTTATTTAAGTATCCATCATTAGTTCTATATTCACGGTAACTATTTTATAAATATAGACGACGTCATTCCAGTTTTAACCAATGACAAGTCGGAAGAATTCAGAATGCGCGCAGAACATAACGTCGCCATTTTGTATCCACAAATGGACTGAAAAATCGTAGGTAGAGTTATTTTTTTTAAATTGCATTTGTGTTTAAAAAAATTCATTTTTTATAAAGTGCAAATCATTTTTTTTTAAAAATCAAGTTTTGGAGAAAATTCACTTATATGATTTTATAAATTAATGTCACGTGCTTAAATTATTTGCTTTGCGCGGTATTAAATTATTATTGCAATAGTTGCTCTTTCTTACGCTAAATTATATTTTATTTATTTTATATCATTTAAATTAAAATAACTAAATTGAATTGTTATAAATTGAAAAATAATTATTCGATGAAAAGTTTCTTGTTATTATTTCTTTTTTTTTCATGCGTTGAATGTTTACCATTGTCGGCGTCCATCCCACAAAAAACGTGTAAAGCGTGTTTAGATATGCTTACTTATTATTTGTTCGAAAATTTTTAGTAAAATTTAGTTTTTACTGTGATTATATACAATACTTTAAACCTTTTCTAATAAAGTACTAAATTTTTGTGATATTTTTTTAAGTATTTGGTCAATACCTTCAATTGTAACTTTTTTATTAAATGTTTTTTTTTTTTTTTTTTTAATTTCCAACTATTTGTTATTTTTGATATTTGGTTCAGTTTTTTTTATGTTATTTTATATTTAATTACTCCTTTAAAATGTATTAAAATCCTATGTGCTATAGGTATTTTCATATTCATCATTAAGGTAGCCATTATTATTAGGACATTATCCATGAATTGAACAATGAACTCTGCTGGTTAAGTCATTAAATGTGAAATATTTGATTTAATTATTATATTATTGAATGCTAATTATTCACAATTTGAATAGCTGACATTAACAATTGTATATTAAATATTTTATTATTCAAAAATAAATGCAATTAAAATTTTCCCTTAACAATGTCTTTTAAAAATTATAAACAGGTTTTAGTATATAATATGATTTAAATTTTCAGATCAGAAAAATTATCTAGAGTAGCAGTTAATAGTGGAGCTGCATTAGAATGGCTGATCAAGCAACAAAGCTTCTTGATTTTAGTGAAAAGTTGGATATAAATTTACTTGACAATATTGTTACTTGTATGTACAGTGGATCTGGAGAGCAACAAAAACTCGCTCAAGAAATATTGACTCATTTGAAAGAGCATCCGGAAGCTTGGACAAGAGTAGATACCATCTTAGAATATTCAAACAATTTGCAAACTAAATATTTTGCTTTGCAAATTTTAGAACAAGTCATTAAAACAAGATGGAAAGTCTTACCTAGAAATCAATGTGATGGTATATTTTTTTATTATCTAATTTAATCATTTTTAATAATAACTGTTAAATTTTATAATTTTTTTTTTTACAGATAAAAGATTCTTTGTAATGTTTTAATACTTAACTTGTAACTACTTTTTTTTTTTTTTTTTTTTTTTGTAAAGCTCGCTTGATTGCTTAATTATGACATGATTTTCATTTTTTTTTGTTTTTTTTTTTTTTTTTTTAGAATAAAAAATACATTGTCGCATGATATAAACATCATCAGATCCAGAACGCTGGAGGGGGAAAAATGTATCTAAAAAACTTAACATGATACTAGTTCAGGTAAGAATTTTTTTTGTAAAGAGTCTTATTAAAAAAGAAAAAAGTTAAAATGAAAAAAAAAAAAAAAAAAATGTTTTCAGATTTTAAAAAGAGAATGGCCTAAAAATTGGGAAACTTTCATCACAGATATTGTTGGTGCTAGTAAAACAAATGAATCATTATGTCAAAATAATATGGCTATACTAAAGCTACTTAGTGAAGAAGTTTTTGATTTTTCTAGTGGTGAAATAACACAAACAAAGGCTAAACATTTAAAAGACACAATGTGCTCAGAATTTTCTCAAGTTTTTAATTTGTGTCAATTTGTTATGGTAATATTTAAATTTTTTTTAATTTACTTTTTTCTTTAAATACTCGAAAATAATTTAAAAAAAAAAAAAAAAACTTTATTTTCAATATGTAATTTTTTTTTAAATTTAAATTTTAAAGAAATGTAAATGTGTAAGATTGTACTGTACAATTTTATTGTTTAATTTTTTTTAAAGGACAATTCTCAGAATGCATCTTTAGTTGGAGCTACTCTAGAAACCCTTCTTAGGTTTCTTAATTGGATTCCCTTGGGTTATATTTTTGAAACAGAATTAATCAGTACGCTAATATTTAAGTTCCTGACTGTTCCATTGTTTCGTAATGTAACACTAAAATGTTTGACAGAAGTAGCTGGTTTGAGTGTTAACACCTATGATACTGTATTCGTCGCTTTATATAATCAAACAATGACACAACTTGAAATGGTGGGTTAAATTTTAAAAAAAAAAAAAATTTGAAAAAAAAATTTAAATTGAAATCCTTCAAATTTTCAAATAATATTCTTTTAGATGTTACCTCTGAATACTAATATAAAAGAAGCTTATGCTCAAGGTCAAGATCAGGAGCAAATTTTTATTCAAAATTTGGCAATGTTTTTATGTACATTTTTGAAAGAGCATGGAACACTTTTAGAAAAACCTGAATCAAATGAAGTATTGTTAAAGGTAAATACTCAAAAACAAAATCAAGTAGTAAACAAATTAATAACAGTTAGTTATTGTTTAAAATTTAGTTTAAAATTAGTCTTGAGACATTGACATATAAATCATGACATGTAATTACTTAAAACTAAAGTTGTTTTTCAAAATTTTTGATTTTAGGGCCTTCATTATTTATTACTAATATCCGAGGTTGAAGACGTTGAAGTTTTTAAAATTTGTTTGGAGTGTTGGTATGGTTTAGTTTCTAATTTGTATGAAAAGCACTGTGACATATATAACGAAAATCATTACGATCCAATCGGATCTCCTTTTATGGTTTCCTCTAGACAGAATAATTTTATGGCTCCTAGAAGGCAATTTTATGCACCCGTTTTAAGTAAGGTATGTTTATACTTTCTTTTATACTTTGGTATTTTCACTTTAAAATCTCTTACATTTAATAATTCGTAATGAATATTATACGTTAACATTTAAAAAAAATGCATTTCAGGTTCGTTACATAATGATAAGTAGAATGGCTAGACCGGAGGAAGTTCTCATTGTAGAGAATGATAATGGGGAAGTCGTGC